ATGGAAGAATCATCTGAGCACAAAGGTGACACTTCATAGTCACTTAAAGCATCCACTGTCCCCGTGTGTAGACAGGGAAGCTATGGCACAGAGAGATAAAGTAACTTGCCCAAGGTCACACAGTTGGTATGTGGCAGAGGCAGGATTTGAACACTGGCAGACTGGCTCCAGAGTCCATGAGCTTAACCCCTGGGCTCCACTGCTTAAAAGGATGGGAGGTCAGCCCAAGAGGCTCTCTGCGTGAGCTGAGAGAGAGCAATTTTAATAAATCAGACATAAAGTTTTCCAGGATCTCTCTGAGCCTCAGGGACACTATATTTGGAGTGGGGAAAATTTCACAGTATTTTCACCTTTCTTGGAAGTGTAACAAAGATCTACCTGAGTCCAGCCCAGCATTGCCTTGCCAACAGCCCTCAACCCCTCCAAACTACTTTACTACCCCTTTGCCAAAAGGCTTTTCAATGCATGGTCAGATTTAGATACTAATGTTTAACAGAAACTATTTCGGTATTAGAGAATAATCAACTCAACTTTGTTCAAATTGGCCCCAATACAATATGCAGTCTGAAATAGCAACGTGACACATGAAAACACACACATCTGTCCCCTTTACATACATCTTCAGCTCTGAAATTCGATCTCAGCAAATCTTGTGCATGTTCACGCTTTGATCCAGGGCTCCATCTGAGCCAGAATGAAATATGCCACATTTCATTCATAAGAGACATGATTAAAACAGACAATCGGTTATGTTGGGAAATCACACATTTCCCTAGGCCTAAAAACAGTGTTTTATTTTGAGAGATGGTATATACAAATGGACAATAGCCAGACAAAATGTAATAATAAAACTCCGACCCACCACCTTGCAGCAATCAGGACAAAAAGCCAGACCATGGCCTCTTGGTCATCAGCCCAGAAAGGTCTGAACTTGGTGCAGGACTGCCAGCGTCCCTTTTTATCGTCTCTGCTTCCAACTCAGGGCCAAGCAGGAAAAGCCATTACGTAAGATGCTCACTTCTTGTTAACCCGCCTCTGGCCTCCCCATGCCAGCAACCTCTGACCCAAGTGGACCTGAGCCTTCCCTGCTTTCCACTATAAGCTCCCCCACTCCTGCTTGCCCTTGAGTCTCCGCCAAACGCAAGTGATGGTGACGGATTCCCTGGACGTAGAAGCTCTGTCTAAATAGCCTTTGTTTTCACTCGGGTGATCCACAATTTCAGTGCATTTTTCTGTGGCCATGAAATAAAGCGTAATATGGAGCAGTCCTTTCTAGGAAAGCATGAAGATAAGAAACTAGATGCTGACCCAGAAAGGTTCAATAGGTAGAGACTGGTCCCTATCTAGACATGCAGAACAGCCCAGAAGAGTAGTTTCAAATGAGAGCTCCTGATTCATGAATGCAGACCCGGGCCCAAAAACCAGTGCCTCCCCACTGCACAACTTCAGCAAGCAACCCCTAACCTTTCCAAGTCTGTTTCCGCATCCACAGAATGGACATGAATAATACTTTGTATGGTGCCCGTGATAATACAGTAAGAAAGTGCATATACATAAAGGATTAACACAGAGCCTGGCACACGGACACATAAAAATGTAAAGCGTGAGGGGCTTCTGGGTGACTCAGCCCTTTAAGGAGCGGACTCTTGATTTCCACTCATGTCATGATCTCAGGGTTGTGAGACTGAGCCCGGTGCTGAGCATGGTGCCTACTTAAGATTCTCTCTCTCCCTCTGCCCCTCCCCGACCCCCTGCTCCTGCCCTCTCTAAAACAATAAAATTAAATAAATAAATAAATAAAATTGTTTTTTAAAAAAGTAAAGTATACATTAATAGTACCAATTCATATATCACAGCACCATAATAGCATCAACTATAGTGCATAACCGCATCAGTTCGCACCTGCTGAACACCTACAGTGTCCCAGGCGCTCTTCTGCTCTAGTCTCACTGGCTGGGACGCGCCTGCTGGTCACGTGGACTCACCCGACACACGCAGTGAACGAGGTGGTGACATTTGCCTTCAGAGATTAGAATCTAGCCCCTCTTTTAGCATCGCATCTCCCTTTGTTTCCAACAGTACGTCAGGAGACTCGCAATGCAAGCGCCCGCAGGAGCCGGAGAGATGACCCAAGGGAGAGAAGAGGGCAGGTGTGAGACCCCGGGGAGGCCGGGGGTTAGTGGGGACCCAGGCAGGGCACGACGCACGCCTCACTGCAGCCGACCAAGGCCGGGCTGCCAGAGCCTCGCGACTTCACCGAGAAAACGTAAGTGAAATCCCCCACCGTTAGAGCTTGGCCACGCCCCCCCCTTTTTTTTAAGATTTTATTTATTTATTTGAGAGAGAGAGAACACGAGAGGGAAGAGGGTCAGAGGGAGAAGCAGACTCCCTGCTGAGCAGGGAGCCCGATGCGGGACTCGATCCCAGGACTCCAGGATCATGACCTGAGCCGAAGGCAGTCGCTTAACCGACTGAGCCACCCAGGCGCCCCTTGGCCACGCTCTTATACCGGGGAATGCCAAATGCACCGACAGGCACGCGCGCACGCAAGCGGCCTTGATTTCACTATGGCTGACAGTTTGCAAACTCTAGGCTAGGTGCTTCTCCTCTGGGGCAGCGCCAAGGCTCCACAAGTGCAGTTTAAACAAAGGTGTGGGGACATTCCTTGGGTTGACCCGCCTCCTCTTCGTCCCTCTCCATCTCCTGCCCCCGCAGCATCAAAGCCCAAGTGAGATGGAAAGCCCCAGAGGCTCTCCAGAGCAGGACGCCCTGACAGCGCTGAAACCAAAACGTCCCATGGCTACTCTTTCCGCGGGGCTGACAGTTCGTGCTTGACCTCCGCAGGCGGAGTCCGAGGGAGAGCCCATTTCAGCTCTCACATCAACTTCTGCGGGAGAGAAACAAGCTTGGGGGTTTCTGCCCCTCACCATGGTGACACTTCGGGGCCCTCTCCAGTCTCCATGTGGGGTCCTCTTCCAGCCTCACTAGCCCCCCCCCCAAATAAGCCCCCACTCTGGCATGGCTGTTGGGCATACACAGCCTGGGTGCAGCAGCTGCCCCCCACCCCCGTCTTCCATCCAGGAAGGGGGCTGCGAGGGAATGAAGGGCACCTAGAGCCTTTCCAGAGCCCGATCGCCTGGGTGCACACCCACCACTCCCTAGCTGTGTGACCCTGGGCAAGCTACTCAACCTCTCTGTGCCTCAGAAAAATAGGAGTAATAGTAATACTCACCTCCTTGGGTTGTTCATTGTTAGAACTCAGTGAGTTAATGCATGTGAACAACTTAGAATGTAGCCTGGACGATTCTCAGTCCTCAATGAAAGTTAGCTAGTACCATTTATGCCATTTCCCCGGCCTGAAATGCCTTTTCCAACCAGGCCCCAGTGCTTCCCTGACCACCAGACCATCTCTTTTCCCTTTCTTCAAACTTTTCACCCAACAATGTTCTCTCTACACCAAGGATGGCAAATAAGTTAAGTGTCAACCACTCCACCGCACACGGACATGTAGGGGCTGCCAGGAGTCCTGGACTCAATGCTAAAACTGATTAACAATGTCTGCCGTGGCAGAGGGAGAGCTGAAGCACTGCAGTCGATTAACAATGTCTGCCGTGGCAGAGGGAGAGCTGAGACGCCGCAGTGGATTAACAATGTCTGTCATGCAGAGGGAGAGCTGAAGCGCCACAGTCGATTAACAATGTCTGCCATGGCAGCGGGACAGCTGAAGCACCAGAGTCGATTAACAATGTCTGCCAAGCAGAGGGAGAGCTGAAGCGCTGCAGTCAATTAACAACGTCTGGCTGGGCAAAAGGTACACTCAGTGGTACAAGTGCAGAATCCATACCTTTGCCATTCTTGGTCTAGAGCAAGCATGTGATGCTGCTTTGTATTGAAGGAATCTCTGCAGAGCAAGAACTGGGCTTTAGACCACCCCAGCCCGACCACTGGAGTGACTAGCACAGGGCTGGGTCCAAGCTAAGTTCTGACTCAGCTATCACCAAAACTAACTCAAGAGGCTTCAAACAGGAACTGGGCTTCCTGCAGGCTACTAAACCCACTTGGGATGTGCCAGAGCCTCAGCATCCTATCGCAGGCCCCAAACGGGCACACCCCCAAACAGGTGTGATCTGGCACTTCAGCCTCCCTCAGAAGCAAAGGGTCTACACTGGGCTTACGATGAATTCCCACTTCTCACCTGCAACCAGAAAAACAGGCCTCATTTACATGGCACCACCACCTCAGCATCTGAGCACCGGGGAAACCACCACCGGCTAACACTCGGTGAGGACTCTGTTCCAAGACCTTCACTAACCTGATTGATCCTCACAGCACTCCCGAGACGTCCAGCCCATCATAATCCCCATCATCAGTGAGGGAACAGAAGCCCAGAGAGGTTAGACGACTTGCCCCAGGGCACACAGCTGGCAGGGGCAGGGCCACTGCTATCCACGAAGCTTTGTGAGCAAAATAAGCTAAAGACAGGTTTGCCCTCCCCCAGCACAGAGAAGTAACCCACTTTTTCCAATCCTAAAACTGCATCTTCATCATCCAGAGACTGGTTATTTGCTTTACCAAAGGATTCTTTACTGATTCTTCACTTTGATGAAAACCTGAGAGGTCGGAGACATTGTCTCGGAAAGCTCTTTCCTGCAGTTGGAAAGTGGAATTCATTTACCAAGTTTCCACTTAGGGCAGCAAGTCCAGGCCAGCAGGGATAGATTCGGTGTGTCACCTGAGAGCTTACCTGCCAGCCTACTTGTTTTCAATCCTGGCTTCACAACAGAATGACTTGGGGAGCTTTTAGAGAACGTAGATGCCCACGGCCCGTGCCCAAATACCGTGCTTTACTTTGCCGTCTTGCATGGCTCTCTATTCCGTGTTTGTCAGTTTCCTCACTACACGGGATACTCAGCAGATGAGGAACACTACGTTATTGACTGACAATTTATTGATGACCAAAAGTCGATCTCCATTCTGTCCAACCCAGCAAAGCCACTTACCTCAGAGTGAAGTGGTCTGCCACAGAGCTGCTGGTCAGAGAGACCAAAAAGGTGGCCGTGTCCCCTTCCCGGACGAGGTTCAGGGGTACTGAGATGACAACGTTCTCATCCAGGCTCACCAGGGACCACTTCAGATCGTCTTGAGTTGGGTAGACCACCACACTCCCGATCCTCTCCCGGGCTGGAGGCACCTGCTGGGGGCTGTCCTGGCCGGAGTGGATGTTGTTCTCCCACTTGCCGTCCTCCTCCAGCGGACACTGGCCGGCCTGGTCAGCCGGGTACAGTGTGAAGAAGAGCTCCATCGCAGTGCCCCCCAGCAAAGCCGGGATTTCCTCCTCGGGCTCCAGGTCCAGCCCAGAGCTGAACCACTCAGGCAGCAGCTCCAGCTCGGCCACACACAGCCCCGGGTCCCCTTGCAGCCGACAGCTGGCTGCCACTTCCCTGGCCTCGGGGAAGGCAAACATCTTGACACACGGTAGATCTTCCTCGGGGTCGCTGTCGTCCCAGTCCCTCCCAGTGATATAAAACAAGGTCTGCACTTTGGGTCTGTTGGAGTAGATGGAGCTGTCGAGGATGTGGGATTTCAGCTTCCAGTTGAAGGGAAACTTCTCCATGTTTCCAAAGGCTGGGGAAGTCAACAAGAGCTCCTGCGGGATTGTCTTCTCTGCTGAAAATGGGCCATAGCTGGCATTGATGGTCGGGGGGGTCCTGGCCCGGTAGACAAAGAATGACTCCACCCGCGCCTGCAGACTGGAGTTCCTCGTGACGTCCTGGTTGGCTTCCTTAAGGAAGAAGGCCTCCTCCGCGTCGGCGATGTGGAAGCTTGTGGGTAGATAGGCAGGGAGCGAGGAAAACCTCTGCAGGCTATCCACGATCCCTCGGCTCTCCATCTCTGTGTGAGAAAGGAAGGCAAAGGAAGAATAAAGGCCGGGCCCTGAGAAGCCAGGAAACCAACACAGTGAAGTCTGCACCCATCGGCCCAGCAATCCACCCCCAGCCACACTGGGCCACCCCTGGACTCAGCACAGGGTTCTTCAGGAATCTTCTAAACCAGCCAGTGTTGAGTGGGAAGGAGCTCCTGTACCACTGACCCAATAAGCTGTGGCTGCACAGTCCCACCCCCCACCTCACTCAAGAGAAAACATCGCCTCCTCCAGCTCTCTAAAGACAAGTTCAGAGGATCACGGCCCTCTTTGTTAGGTCGCCCCACAGAGAGGAGGCTGTGCACCTGCAAAGCCCACCTGAGTCAGCATCGTGCCATTGTATAGGACTTGCTACGGCTTCATCGTTTGATAGTTATGCTTCTTCCCATCCCTACCAGATGTGGCGTCTACGTGGACATTCAGACCTCTCCATGATTCTGATTGAAATGAGGGTGAAGCTATGGCTCAGCGTTCCCACTTCTAGAAAGCGCTCCTTCTGAAATCCTAGTGGGAATGCATACAGGTTGATTTATCTACAAGGATGTTCACTGCAGCATCATTTTGCATTGCATACAAACTTAGGAGTGCATGTGCTGGAGCCAGAATCCCAGCTCTGCTGCTTCCTAACTGAGCCATTTGAGCAACTTACTTTCACCTCTCTGCGCTTCAAATGCCCTCGTATAGCATAGGATGTAAATATAAGTCCTACCTTATTGGGTTATTGTAAAGATTAATGAGTTAGTAAATACGAAGTGCTCAGAACAGTGCTGACACACGTAAATATCAATCAGTCATGCTATTGTTACTATTATTACTGTTAATTAGTTTAAACCATTCTAAAGGTTTATCAGTAGGAGACAAGATAAACTACACATTTTTACAGTGGGGTAACAAGCACCTGTAAGAAAAAGGAGGTAGAGCTACATGGACATACTTGAAAAAATGTCCACAATATGTCACTCACTAAGTATAAAAAATTATAAATGTATCCTATATGATCCTACTTAGATTTTTTAAGGTTCCATATTTATGTGTGCGTATATATATACATATATATATATAAATGTACATATAATTATGTTTGTGTGTCTATAGAACCAAAGAACAAGGTTTTCACTTTTTGATATCTAGGTTTCTACTTTCTTTAAATTTGTTACAACTATGTATTATTTTGTTAATTAAAATATATACAGAAACATGTATATGTGTGTTTGTGTGTGTATATATATGTGTGTGTTTATTTCTTTCAAGTGGGAAAACACAGACCCAACAAGCTTTTTCACACTAAAGAGAGTCCACCAGGAACCAGGGTTGGCAAATCAGGCCAAGAACAGACAGGGCTTCCTCCCTGCCCAGAAATAATAAATCTCCAACCCTAGAGCCATTGCAAGAAGAAAT